TTGATCTGTATTATTGTCATTCCTGCAGTGCTTCGTTACGACACTGGTGATGATCATCAACAGAGAGATTTAGTTGAAAAAGATATTCGAGACCGCTTTTTAAATCTGGGAAAGTGTGTTCTCTTTATCGCTTGCATTCTTTGGTTTTACAAGTCCCCTGTTACAGTCTGTCACGGCAGGACCAGGGGGCGTGACGCAAGGAATCAAAAGTCCAGGAACAGTCCGAGGTCAAGCCGAGCAAATCAGGTAGCAAGGTTCAAACAGGTTTAAATCACAGTCCAAAAGCAGGGTCAGACATACCAAGGTTTCTAGTCCATAAATCACAATGATACCAGAGGAATCAGAGATGAACGCAGGGTCAACGAAGCCGAGGGTCAAAAGCCGAGGATCAAGCCGATAAGAATTCCACAAGGTCTGGAGCAGAGATGCAAGGATTCAGGTCCTGACAAACAACATTTGCCAGCACAAATGACTGCTGGCAACAGACTTGCAGATATACAATGCTAGCTAATCAACTCATTAGCTAGCCGGGAGCAAGGTCAGGATCCTGTCAATAGTCAGGGCTGAGAGATCTTCTGGCACGCATGCGTGCATTCTGCCTTCGCTCTCTCAGCTGCTGTCTCCTTACATTCCGGAGCCTGGTTACAGGTGGGGGCGAGTCTGATGAACTACTGGGCTGCAGCAGAGACTGATCCCTTGCAGGTGTTCCCTGAGAGGCTTGATCCTCCTCACCACTTAGGTAGCTTTCAGCTACAGGATCCAGTCTTTGCCTTTCTGCTGCAGTACTGTCCTCAGGAGCCTGTAAGTCCACAGGCTCCTGGCTGGCAGGTGCCTCCTCAGGGGCATCAGCAAGGGCAGGCATAGCACCAGCAGGGGCAGGCATGACATTTTTGGCAGAGGATCCCCATGCTCTAAATAGCAGTGGGAGAAAAACTAAACTGTCGCTGCAGGCTCGCCTAAAGGCTCTTTGGGGGCTTCAAGGCTTGGCTCCAGGGTGGAAAAGGACCGCATGTCCCTTCTAATGGCATTTCTTCGTGGCTGTGTGGTGGGGCTTGGGCACCTTCCATGTGGTTGGCTAATGGCTGGCCACCAGGAGCTTGTGCTTGATGGGCAGAGAGGCTTCAGAGAGGGCAGACCCAAGAAGTGCAGTCTACTCTTCCCTGGACAGAGTTCATTCTTGCAGTTCTTTAAGAACAACCTTCCCCCTCCATCCCTCCCTCCCTCCCTCCCTCCCTACTTTTTAAGGTTGTATTCTGGTTATTCTAAATATTTTCACTATGTCACCCAGTGTTCCCTGTAAGCTCTGTAGTGTTGTGTGCAATAATTGCACCTGGTGAGTGAAAAAAACCTTGTAGCATTAAAGATGTTAGCAAGTCTACTTTTGACTATTGCATAAATCAGCCTTTTTAGATTATTTGCATAACCTTGTAAAACTCTCAGAATGAATTCTTTTAAACTATATTTTAAGAATAATTTGAACATTATAAGAGGAAACAGAATCAGATAAAATTTCATTACAGAAAGTGTTCTTCTCTATGGGGGTAGACCAGGCCTCCAGAGAAAAGGTCTACCCTCCCCTTTCCAATATATTGGTAGACCTGGCCTACAAACAACAGGTCTACCCACCCCCTTGCTACACTACTGCTAGACCTAACCTCCAGAAAATGGGTATACCTGCCCCAGTCTTCTGTACTGGTAGACCTGGCCTCAGACTGTCACCCTGCATTGAGCCTTAGAAAACATACCAGCACTTAAGGGTGGGAACTATTGCAGACAACTTTAGGGTTGTTGTTTTTTTAGTGAGATATGACAAATTTAAGGTCAAGTATAACAGAGGTGGAACAACCACTGTTAGAACCCTGCCTAACCTAACAAACAGGAAGTTGCTTAAATGTTTTCAACCTGCCCAAACTACTTTTTTATTCAAATATTTATACACTTTTCCCATGTCTGAAGGCAGCTTATAAATCATACTGAAAAAAACATAACAAGTGTGCAAAAAATCTATTTTTCCATCTCTTTTATACTTTATGGGAACAATTATAGTCAATGGGTCCATCGGCTATAATGGAGACTCAATATGGGGGTATATAGCGTTGAGAGCCAGTTTGGTTTAGTGGTTAGGAGTGCAGACTCTAATCTGGGAGAACCGGGTTAGATTCCCCACTCATCCACATGCAGCTGCTGGTATAACCTTGGGTCAGTCATAAGTTATTTCAGAGCTGTTCTCTGGGGGGCAGATCTCGAGAAAGCTCTCTCAGCCCCACCTACTTCCCAGGGGTCTGTTGTGGGGAGGGGAAAGAAAAGGGATTGTAAGTCACTCTGAGACTCCTTTGGGCAGTGAAAGGTGTGGTATAAATCCAATCTCCTCCTTTTCTCCTCCTCCTCCTAATAAGAACATAAGAGAAGCCAATGTTGGATCAGGCCAATGGCCCATCTAGTCCAACACTCTGTCACACAGTGACTAAAAATACCAGGTGCCATCAGGAGGTCCAGCAGTGGGGCCAGGACACTAGAAGGCCCTCCCCACTGTTGCCCCCCCAAGCACCAAGTATACAGTGCATCATCTGCCCCAGCCTGTGAATTCCTATCTATACCTTGTGGATAATAGCCACTGATGGACCTCTGCTCCATATGTTTATCCAGTTCCCTCTTGAAGCTGTCCATGCTTGTAGGCGCCATCTCCTGTGGTAGTGAATTCCATGTGTTTATCACTCTTTGGGTGAAGAAGTACTTCCTTTTATCCATTCTAACCCGACCACTCAGCAATTTCATGGAATGCCCATGAGTTCTTGTATTGTGAGAAAGGGGAAAAAGTACTTCTTTCTCGATCTGCTCTATCCCCATGCATAATCTTGTAAACCTCAATCATGTCACCCCTTAGTCGTCGTTTCTCCAAGCTGAAGAACCCCAAGCGTTTAAAACCTTTCTTCATAGGGAAAGTGTCCCAACCCTTTTATCATTTGAGTTGCCCTTTTCTGCACTTTGCCCAAAACGATAATATCCTTTTTTGAGGTGTGGTGACCAGAACTGTACCCAGTACTCCAAATGAGGATGTACCATCAATTTATACAGGGGCATTATGATACTGCCTGATTTGTTTTCAATTCCCTTCCTAATAATCCCCAGCATATCATTGGCCTTTTTTATTGCAGTCACACACTGTCTTGACATTTTCATTGAGTAATCTACAACAACTCCAAGATATCTCTGTTGGTCAGTCCTAAAAATTCCTCACTATTTGAAATGCCAACCTAATGTTGATATCAAACTGGATATCAAATGGGATATTTTATCAAGGCCTCTGGCAGATCAGAGGATCTTTCAGAGCTTGATGTGCAGCGGTATTGAGGGGACTTCCTTGCATGTAACAGTTTAAGAAGAGAGCTTCAAATGAAGAAACAAGTAGAGCTTTGTCTCTTATTCTGGCTGTTCACTCTATGGAGGTAAAATAGCTTTCTGGCTGATCTACCACTTGATCATTTTTTTCTTATGTATGGTCAATCAATTTCTTTAGGGCAGTAAAATAGGAATCAAGAAGAACACTCCAGGAAAGTTTCTGGAATTAAAAAATGTGCATTGTGCATTTGGAAATGTTGAGTTCAAGGGAAAGATCTTTACAATCAGTTTGGGACTCACAAATGCAATTTTTTCCCATGGGTTGCTAATAATTTATTTAGGGCTGTAAAATAGGAATCTTTAGGGCTGTAAAATAGGAATCAAGAAGAATGCTCCAGGAAAGTTTCTGGAATGAAAAATGTGCATTGTGCATTTGGAAATGTTGAGTTCAAAGGAAAGCACTTTACAATCCATTTGGGACTCACACATGCAGTTATTTCCATGGGTGGCTAATAATGTATTTTGCAACCATTGATACAATCTTAAAATCTGGTTATATTAAAATCAGGAAGAAATAACAAAGCACTACATGTTAAAAATATAAAGGAGGAGAAAAAAACGCACCAAAAAGTCAAAATTTTGGGGAATGATTTGGGGAACTTAGAAGACAAACAGAACAGACAATTAACAAGCTTTTTGAAGCCCAGCTGTGAATGTCCTATTTGAATCCCAGACTAAGTAGATAGGCTATATTTAGTAAAGATGGTAATGAGGACAAAATACCCCAAAAGAAAACAAAGACCTCATAGCCTAAATACTGCTGATTCTAATAGAATATATCCTTGGGGTCTATCCATAAGATTTAATTATTTCTTTTAATTAGCTGTTCTTTTGTGTTCAGCTCCGGTCTGAGTAAAATGATGTAGCATTTTGGGGAAAAGATGCATCCCAGTAGCCCAGCACTGGAGGTTAAGATGCAGAAGATCTCCACAGCCACCATGGATTTCCCCTTGGTGCTCAAGTAGGTCGGAACGAAGGACACCCATACACTGCAAAAGACCAACATGCTGAAGGTGATGAACTTGGCTTCATTGAAACTGTTGGGTAACTTCCTGGCTACAAAAGCCACGGTGAAGCTGATGATGGCCAGAAAGCCTAGAAAGCTCAGGACACAGTAAAACATAATGACTGACCCTTCATTACATTCCAACACAATTTTCTCAGTCATTGAATGCATATCAAAATCTGGGAAGGGGGGAGACATTGTCAACCACACAGTACAAATAGTACCTTGTAAAAGGGAACATGAAATGACAATGTAACTGGACAGCTTTTTCCCTACCCATCTCCTCATTCTGGACCCTGGCTTTGTGGCCATGAAAGCCAGAACCACAAGAACTGTTTTGGCCAACACACATGAAACAGCCACCGAGAAGATGATGCCAAAAGCTGTTTGTCGAAGGAGACAGGTGACCTTCTTAGGTTCGCCAATGAACAGCAATGCAGAAAGGAAGGCGAGGAGGAGGGAGATGAGGAGAGTGTAGGTGAGGTCCCGGTTGTTGGCTTTGACTAAGGGAGAGTCCCGGTGCTTAATAAAGATCCCGAGCACCAAAGCTGTGATGAAAGAGAAGGAGAGAGCAAGAGTAGCCAAGCAGATCCCCAAAGGTTCTCCATTAGACAGAAAGCTTAAGTCTTTTGGTAGGCATAAATTCTGGCCTTTGTTTGGATACTGACCTTCAGGACACTGAGAACATTCATTTAAGTCTGAAAAACAAAGCATCCTTTATGTACATGCATGTTTCCATAGAATTCATTGAAAAGTGCAAGTATCTTCAGAGTGCTGCTAAGCTAAAGTAATACAGCTAGGTTTTCTGCCTTTACCTTTCTTAAGAGAGCCAGTTTGGTGTAGTGGTTAAATGCACACACTCTATCCCCCACTCCTCCACTTGTAGCTACTGGATGAGCTTGGGCAAGCCATAGTTCTGTCAGAGCTGCTCTCCCAAGGACAGTTCCGGAAAGAGCTCTCTCCGCCCCACCTACCTCACAGGGTGTCTGTTGTGTGGAGGGGAATGGAGAAGAGTTTTTAAGCCATTCTGAGACTCTGAGTGAAGGGTGGGGTATAATTCCAATCTCTTCTTCTTCTTAATACACAGAGGAACTTAGGTTCACTGGTGCCCCCAAAGCATACAGGATATTACTGGATTGTTTCAAAGTGCTTTCCCCCTTACTCTAATTATTACACACTATATTGTTTTCTCCAAAATTTCTAGATATGCTGTGTTTCTTCCTCCCTCCATCCCCCAGTCAACTGTGGCATCCTTTTTTCAATTTTTTAAAATATAATACAAAAATACATGTATCATCATGAAAAAACAGGCAATGGAAAGTAGTAATAACACATATATGGTGGTAGGAAGGTAAGTATCATATTCATACTATTGAGAGCATTAAGCCTGCTCATAATCCCCTCAAGAAACAGCTAACAGCTAACTCAGAAATGATTCCATTTCTGATACTGTACATTAGATGGAATAACCTTATTCTCAGCTAGATATTGCAGTATCAGGAGCACAAAGGTGCTTTCTGAATTATCACAGGAGTGGTGGTTTAGACCATCAGCAATCTTTCCCATCACAAATTGTGTCCACAGTTTATCTAACCATAGTTCTATAGTTTGTGCTCCTTTGGCTTTCCATTTGGAAGCAATGCCTAACCTTGCAGCCACCAGTAGGGTAGAAATCATAGCCTTCTTATGCTTTCTCATGTAGAAGTCGGACCACAGTTCTTGTAGGACTAGATCTAAGGTAGGAGGAGTGACCTGACCTGCCATTCTACTGTTCTTGCAAACCAAAGAAAGAGATCACGAGATGGAAGTTGAAAGGAAGCAAACAACTGTGATGTATTGTGCCAAAAAAAGTTCTTCACAGACTTATGAATTACTTTTCCAATATTCAATTTACTGGAAGCAATTCAAAAGCCATCAACACAACGAACCATGCTTATAATGTCTTGTTTTGTATATAACTTTATCAAAGTGGGTAGTGTTGAAACGCCTATATAATTTTAATCCATTTGGCAAACACTTTAGTCATATCTCATAGTGACATTAGGAACATAAGAACATAAGAGACACCAATGTTGGATCAGGCCAAAGGGTTAGGGTCCAATGGCCCATCTAGTCCAACACTCTGTCACACAGTGGCCAAAAATACCAGGTGCCATAAGGAGGTCCACCAGTGGGGCCAGGACATTAGAAGACCCCCCACTGTTGACCCCACCCAAGCACCAAGAAGACAGAGCATCTCTTGCCCCAGAGTCCCTATTTATACCTTCTGGCTAATAGCCACGGATGGACCTCTGCTCCATATGCTTATCTAATTCCCTTTTGAAGCCGTCCATGCTTGTAGCCGCCACCATTTCCTGTGGCAGTGAATTCCATATGTTAATCACTCTTTGGGTGAAGAAGGACTTCCTTTTATCCATTCTAACCCAACCACTCAGCAATTTCATGGAGTGCCCACGGGTTCTTGTATTGTGAGAAAGGGAGAAAAGTGTTCCAACCCTTTTATCATTCGAGTTGCCCTTTTCTGCACTTTTCCCAAAGCTATAATATCCTTTTTAAGGTGTGGTGACCAGAACAGTATTCCAAATGAAGTCACACCATTGATTTATATAGGAGCATTATGATATTGGCTGATTTGTTTTCAATTCAATACCCTTCCTAATAATCCCCAGCATAGCATTGGCCTTTTTTATTGCAGTCACACAGTGTCTCGACATTTTCAGTGAGTTATCTACGACTCCAAGATCTCTCTCTTGTTCAGTCTCTGCCTGTTCAGACTGCATAAATGTGTATTTATATTTAGGATTTTTGGCTCCAATGTGCATCACCTTGCTCTTGGCCACATTGAACCCCATTTGCCATGTTGACGCCCACTGGCCCATCCTTGACAGATCCCTTTGGAGTGCCTCACAATCCTCCCTGGTTTTCACCACCCTGAACAACTTCGTATCATCTGCAAATTTAGCCATTTCACTGCTTCCTCCCAACTCCAAATCATTAATGAACAAGTTAAAAGGCATTGGACCAAGTACTGATTTTTTAAAATTTATATCCCGCCCTCCCTAAAGGCTCAGGGTGGCTCACAAGGAGGCATAAATGCCAAGGTTAAAACAATAAAACAATATAAAGAACAGTATAAAATACAGTATGATACAATTCACTAAAATATCAGTGCTCCAAAAAGTCACTTAAATTGTGAATTCCAAGATGGGGTTCTGGAGTTATTTATACCAAAACAATAGTATACGTCCCAACAGCGCTGTCATCCACTGGGAACATCTCGCGCCCCCGATAATACCTGCTCAACTGGTGGTCAAAGTGCAGAGACAGAGGAAGCAGTGATGGAATAGTGGTGGCTCCCTGCGGTACCCGACTGCTTACCACCTTCCACTGAGAAAATTGCCCATTTATATTCACTCTCTGTTTTCTATTAATCAGCCAGTTTTTGATCCACAAAAGGACTTGTCCTTTTATCCCATGATTTTTGAGTTTACTTAGGAGCCTTTGATGAGGAACTCTATCAAAAGCTTTATGGAAGTCAAGGTAAACAATATCTATTGGGTCCCCCTTGTCCACATGTTTGTTCACCCTCTCAAAGAATACTAACAGGTAAGTGAGACAAGATCTTCCCTTACAGAACCCATGCTGAGTCTGCCTCAATAGGTTTTGTTCATTTATGTGCCTACTAATTCTTTCCTTAATAATGGTTTCCACCAATTTATCAACGTCAGACTGACTGGCCTGTAATTTCCTGGATCTCCTCTGGAACCCTTTTTAAAGATGGGAGTGACATTAGCTACCTTCCGGTCCTCAGGAATGGAGGCAGATTTTAAGGAAAGATTACATATTTTTGTCAGGAGATCCACAAGTTCACATTTGTGTTCTTTCAGAACTCTCGGATGTATGCCATCTGGGCCTGGTGATTTATCAGTTTTTAAGTTGTCTATCAGTTGTAGGACCTCCTCTCTCGTCACCTCAATCTGACTCAGGTCTTTCAACACCCTTCCCGAAATCAGCAGTTCTGAAGTGGGCAAGCACTTCTCATCTTCCATAGTGAAGACAGAGGTAAAAAATCTCATCTTCCATAGTGAAGACAGAGGTAAAAAATGCATTTAGCTTCTCAGCCATTTCCCTATCATCCTTCAGTACTCCTTTTACCCCTTGATCATCCAAGGGCCCCACTGCCTCCCTGGCTAGTTTCCTGCTTCTAATGTATTTGAAGAAAGTTTTATTGTTGTTGTTTTTACGTTATTTGCTA